GCCAGGCCCGGTGCTGGCCCTCCCATCACCCTCCCCAGCCCCTCACCCCCTCCCAGGCTGCCAGCCATGCCCCCCGCCCTCCACCAAAGCCCACGGACCCACAGCAGCTCAGCCAGCACGCTTGTAGCGCCGGAGGCGGGGTGAGAGCTGTGGTCAGCACCACGGCTGCAGGTGCTTCTGCTGGGCCGCGTCTTCACCCACGGGCACCGGCTCCGGCCTCGGTTCTCACGGGGGTCTGAAGCAGGAAGCTGCTGGAGGGAGAGCAAGCCTTTCCTGGGGCCCGGCAAGTTCTGGCTGCACCTCATGGCCAGCACCATGTCACGTGGCCAGGCCTTGCTGCCGGGGAGGCAGGGAATGGGTCTCTGATCAAACCCCCCCAGCAAGGCCCCCGTCGGGAAGGAAGTGGCGGAGAGGGGCGGCTGTTGCTGTCCTCCAGGCCTACGGGCAGGGCCTCACCGTGGCTCCGTGTCCTCTGGGCAAGCTGTGGCCCATCCTCCTTGCCTCAGCGCCCCCGCCCTTTCCCAGCACCTTCCCTTCGAGGGCACCCTTGGCACCACCAGGAAGTCCCGGCTCGAGCCCCCGGGGCTGTGCAGCTCTGGGTAAGATGCAGATACCCAGGGACAGCGTGGGACACGGTTGCGTGGTCCTGGCATGGTGAGACCGTCTGCTGCGGAAAAGCAGGGCAGCCGCTCCCTGAGTACACGGCTGGATCTAGCCGGGAGACTTCAGGCAATTCTTGACAAACAACAAAATATGAGTTTCTTTTGGGTGCAAAGAAGTTTTGGAATCCACACACAGTTTTTTCACAGTAAGCATTTTCTGTAAATTCTGAAGTCGCCTTGTGCTTATTGTCCTGTGTGGTAGCCTCCCTGCAGGCGGGCACTGTCTTCCCGTGCTGTGGCCCTCCTCGCTGCCAGCCCACGCGGAGCCCGGAACTGGGAGAGCAGAAGCATAACCAGTGTTTGCTGAGTGACAGGAAAAGTTGTCACCCCACACGGACGGGCGAGAACTGCTAGTGCGAGGAACGGTGCACTGGCTGTCCCTGCAGGGGAGCTGGGCATGTGGCCACGAGGACCCTGAGGCCATTGAGTACTGGCGCACGGCCCACAAATGGTGTCAACATCCTGGGTGGCTGTCACCTACAGCCTCTGGGCGGAGGGGCCACCAGCAGGAGAGCCTGGGAGCTGTTCTTACAGACGGCCGTGCAGGCTCCCGGCCTGTCCGTGTGGAGTCCCGCCATGACATGCTACCCTGAAGGCCTGAGGGCGTCCTGGCCACTCAGGGCTGGGGTGACTTGGCCTCTGAGGGGGGCTTGGGCCTGGAAGCGAGCAGGCCACCAGGGAGGGGCGTCCAGGGCAGGTCCCGCCAGGACAGTGTAGGCAGGTTGAGCAGAGGGGTGGCCGGCCACGCCAGAGCAGGTGCATTCCCGGAGTGCAGCTCTCTTTGTGGAGAAGCCGGGTGCTCTTCACGCGGCCCTTGGTCTCGGTGACTCACTGGGAAGCCCAAGCCCTCCACGTGAGCAGTGCACAGTGGCCCGGAGGAGGGCGAGCAGGGAGAGGGGCACCTCGCCCGGCCTCCTGCTGTGAGCCTCTGCTAACCGAGCGCAGGGACAGCCCGGCCGATTAGTGGTGAATTCCCATCTGCAGATGTTTGTGGGAGAGTGTCAGAGAAAGGGGGTTTTCTGGGTGAGCGAGGGAGGAAGTCAGGATGCTGGGGCAGTCAGGCCTGATCCCTGGGCAGCCCCCAGACAAGAGAGGACTTAGGGAATTCCACGGCACATCCAGTGGTGCCCCGCCCACAGGGAGACAGGCTCCAGTCGGGGACTGGTGGGGTGCTTCTTAACAGGTTACGGGGACAGCGCTTGTTTGGAAATGTGGCAGTGTCTGTCATGCCTTAGTAAATATGGAGTGAGGACACGGTAAGGCGGGGTCAGCCGCTCCCTCCCCAAGGTGGGGGCAGCGCCGCG